GAATTTAAATGATATATATTATTTTCATGAATTCTGATTTGTAATATCAACGTAAAATGATAATTATTTTGAAAAACAATTCTGTCATTAATACAAACTTTCCAACACAGATTTTCAGAGAAATATTCAGTGATGGCTATTTTGTTTTATACCGTCTCCGTTTTAATATCGTCTCCTATATTGTTTCAGTAGTATACAAATCTTTTGCGGCTCTCACACGAAATTGATCTTTATAAATGACGTCCCTAAATAAATAGAATTTCACGGATACGTGATAAATCGCTCGTTGACTTCAAAAATATGAAGGATTTGTTTAAAAAACCGCATCTAAGTATTCATGTTAAGTGCAACCCGCAGCACTCAGTCAGATATATTGTTAAATACTTCCTAAAAGAAGCGTTCTAGACCCTTGCAATTTAAAATTTTGAGGTCACAGGTCTCACAGAACTGTTTGTTCGTAATCTGCAGGATGAGATGTTCTTGGACATTCGATTAAATATTTGCTGGTTCGGCACTTATCGATATTACCAATGCATCTAGATTTCAATCCTTGCTGATGGTGGTCATCTTTGTGATGTAACATTAGATGACTTATATTCCTCTATTTTATATTACTCGCGCAACTTTTCTTGAACGATGACCGTGCTTCCCTGTCTATGGCACAATAAACAGTTGAAAGCAAAAAATCGCAGCGGCACTGATGACTTTTCAAACACATCGTCACTGGCGTGAAATAGAAACTATTTTCTGTTGAAGGCGAGAACTTCTGTCTGTGATTTTCTCCCAAAAATCTAAGGAAATGACCGAAGCAGGCGAAGATGCATAACAGGAGATACCTTGAAATCATGAGAAAGTTAAAACGCAAATTATTGAGAAATTTGCGAAAGAATGACTGATTCTCCAGAGATTGGAATTGCTTCATAAAATGTGGTGACGGATTTCGTAACTAATACCGCCACTCCCGCATTTCTTCAATCCATCTTTCAAGAAAAGTTACGCGAGTAATATTATTTATGATTTCTGTGTACATTGTGGTTTGCGCAGACTGACGAGGTTTATTGTCATAATTATTAATTCAAGATCCACTCTCGCAGCAACAACTAGAAGAACAATTAATATTGCTTGATGCCGATGAAGATTGTTTCCAATGCGTGTAGTGAAACCATTTATTTATGTTTTTCGGAAGTCTACAAAGTAATGGAGGGATTTGAGTGGAGACTGTCGTGTTAGGTTTTGTTTTTGTTTTACCTGTACCCCTACTTTCTTTATTAGCATTAATTCGGTGACACGTTCAAGTCAGCGACTTCAGTCACGTAGCTTTCTCAAGAAAAAAATCTTTCTTTTAATATTTTTGTGGCTATCACGAAAAGCGAAAAGCAGAGTGTCCAAGAATAATGAATAATTACTTCCAATATTTTTAGGAGAGTGTTGTGAAATGCTCTAGAAAATGTATCGATAATACTGAATAAATCTTTAGAGAAACCATCTTTCCTACGTCAATTGCATTGTTTTTATTTCCCCGTATACGTACGTATCTAGGGTGTAATGTATGTAGAATAGGAAAAGTTCTATTATGCGCATGAAAATGGCGGATTTTCGGCAGAAAAAAATCATCGCCGGACCCTGATAACGAAAATGTGGATAAATCCAGTTGCTAAATTAAGAAAAAATATGCTCTAACACGGGTTGGAGCCAGAATCCCAGTTTCGTGGGTCCTTGATACCGAAAAATCAATTGACGACTAAACGACCGTCCGTCTGTCAGCCTGTGAACATCACTAACGCCTAAACCGTACGTACTATTTTTGCCAAAATGAATATTCCCCGGTTGATCTGGCTCCACTCGAGGCACCGCGATTTTCAAAACTTTCTTCAAAATTTGGAGCTAATTAACATGAAGCTCTCCTGACATTTTCAAAATTTTCCAAACAACGACTTCAATTCTTTTCTTTATATATCTTGTAAGAATAAAATAAAATAAAAATAAAAGAGTAAAAAACCCTTATAAAGGTGGCTTAGGTCCGATTTTCACGGTTCACTCTGCATTTTTAATAATTGCAAACGTTTGAATTTTTGCGGCGTCTTCCTACAACTATAAAATTAAAGATAGCGATTTTTTCTTCAAATAAAATTTATTCTCCATAGTGAGTTCTTTCATTAAGGGTACGTACATTTTTTTTTTGTAATTTTTTGGCGTTTTCGCGCAATATTGTGAGCAATATGTGCAGTTTTAAAAAATTCCAAAAACTAGATTTTCTCAAAAACGGTTCCAAAGTTTTCATTAACATTTTGGTAGAGATAGTGACCATATTGCTCAATTCTTTTGTTTTTTCAAATATTACAAAAAATATTTAATTTGTTCAAAGAATTGGTTGCCCCGACCGGGACTACATTGGGGCCGGACCTTCTGGTTTACGTTCAGCTGCTCTAACCAGTTCGTTCCTCTAGTTCGCATCCCGCTTGTTTGAGTCCCGGTCGGGCAACCCACTTCCTTTGAACAAATTTAATTATTAAATGTATTGATACTCAGTAAACATGGTCACAATTTGGATTCCTTTACGTACTGCCGAAATAATATTCTCCGAGGTAATTGCGTCGAACCAAGGTGAATGGGATTCAGATATATAATATATATATATATATATATATATAATATATATATATATGATATATATTGTGTGTGTGTTGTGTTTGTGGTGTGTGTGTGTGTGTTGTGTGTATGAGAGGAGAGAGAGAGGATGAAGATATTACAAAAATGTATTTTTTAACTTGTCTCTCACGTCATTAATATTCACATTAACGGCAATTTGTTCACATTAATTTATTGACGAGTGCATGTGCTTTAATAAATGAATACTCAACGGTTTCCTGTAAAAAGTAGCTTAAAATTTCCCATTTTCAGAAACACGCAAATGCCATTTTCTCATAAACCGCTCCAAATTTCTTCTTCAAACTTTTCGAGCGTATAGTGCTGACACCACTCTTTGAGATGACATAGAATTATTTTTTCTGTATTGTTTTATTTTCCCCCAAAATTACACAAATGTATTTTTTTAAAATATTTCTCACGTCTTTAATATGCACATTTCCAGCGATTTGTAAGCACTATTACATTTGTGACTAGAAATGCTTGAAATGGCATTATATGAAGTAGGCACAAAATACAAACAAACTTTTTGAATTAAATGAAATAAAACAGATTGAAGTAAATGAACAACAAAAATCCAAACGCGCTAGCCTACCATACTTCGTGGATTAAATTAAAAAAGCAACAAAATTTAAAATTATAGAAAGAATAGCGTAAGTCATTCGCCAACTGCCAACGATCATTCGCACCATTGAAATGTTAGCGGTATCTGAAATTATGTACATCAATACCCAGCTGTAAACTCATATTGTAAATAATACACAGTCTGATGTAAAACCAGGTATCGATTCGCTAAGATATTCAACAACTATACATCGTTTGAGCAACATTCCCATGTACCGAAGTAAAGTCTAAACGTACAGAATTGTTTCTAATGGTAACAAAGGGTATTTATTACTCACGTAAAAATAATATTTTTGTCTCAGAATTATTTTTCTTGTACATAACGCAGAAAAGTATACAAATAATTTTCCAATTTTCGCAACCGGGATTAACATGGAAGATTTCTCGCTCGGGTACGCTGGTCATTACTTTATACTGTTGCCCATTGAATCTAAATATTTACCTACTTTAAGAGGGTTACACAAAAACATACACTTAATAACTCGTGTAAATCTAGTCACAGTCATTGTTTTCTATTGCGTTCAGTGAGTACCCTACACATTTGAGAATCGTTTAGTTTTAACTGCGGAACACCTTTCTCAATTCTCAGTAAGGTGTGAAGTGAAAATACGTAAGTAAAAACATTTTTAGATAAAAAGTTACATACTTAATATTCATCACAATATTCTGAAACCTTCTGCAGTTGTCTAGGTAGACATTTCTTTCTACCTGTTCTTGTAGAAGTTTTTAGCAAACAGTTTTCCGACTAATTTAGAAAATTAAGCAATGAATTTTGCAGTCAATTCCGAGTGTTCGAATCCGTGAATGTAGTATCTCATAAGAATTTATTATTTCTGTGATAAAAAGAAAATAAAGGGGGTAGTGGAATAAGGTAGGTGAAGGTGCATACACATTTTTAATTAAATATCGAATTTGAAGAAAAGAAAACGAACAGATTTTTCGACTTCGATTTAAATCAATTTGTCAGGAGAACTTCGACCCATGGAGAAAACGCTTTTGTTAGCTTCTTATATCAGTTGAAATTTTGTTAACCACATTACGCCTAAGAACATTGACATTAATCGTTCTTGCAATTTTCTAGGAACTATTCGAATGATTCGAGAAAGGGTTTACGATTTTGAACCTTACAGTCATAAGAGGAAGGAGAAAAAAGACGAACATACTTTTCCCCTTCGTTTTTTAAGAATATCTCACGTTCTGACGGTTATCATAACTAGTGGTGATATAGAATGGCACAGACTTTCTCGTGCTATTTACTTTTATAATTCTTTGGTCTGAACCAGCATTTCGGACATGCCACATACTCTTGCTAGCTGACATGTATCACCATCTGAAGGACTTTTTTGCAAACCAATAATTTCTCACCTTTTTCCGTTTTCTAATAGTGGAAAAAAGGTATTACTTCAAGAGTATTATAGATTAGTAAAACTTCGTCGAAAACTCTGGAACCGTTCTCAAGAAAATAGCATTCAAACGTTACTGTAAATGGAATATTTGGGCTCTTTTTCCCAGAAAATTTTTGAGTTTTCGAAACTCTTATTGGAAATCATTGTAAGCACTTTTACTCACTAGTGTAACAATGTTTTTGAAAAGGTATTTCTAATAATTCTATTTCCACACCACGTTTAGCCAGTAATTTGTAAGATATACAATCGTCACTTCAGTGGGATAGTGGTTCTGATATCGACAGAGATTCTGAAAATTCTGACAGGTATTTCTGCATCTTTTAGAATTCTTCATCTTGCAATATGGAAGTAGACGATAAACAACCTACCACCTTCTATGTAGAATCACATATCAATCCTTCTGACTTACATGTGGTTGACGGACTTTTCGCATCTCGCAACTTTAAATCAGATTGCACGCCGCACACGTATCGAATAGTGCGCTGTAGAGGTAAGTGGTAAATCTACACATTACGATGTAGAAACAAATGGCATATTTCCAAAATCTGCTGTCTAAATTAAAAACATGCACGTTGTAGTCACTGTTCTTAACGTATATTTCAATATCATTACAAATAACATTTAGTATTATTTGTAACATTGTTCTATATTCTTATAAACTCATATTAATTAGATCGCTGGTGAGGTAGTTATCTTCTAATATTTAAGTATGATAAATAAAAGATGTTGTCTGGTATCAACAACTTCTTTGGCTGATGATCGTTTTGATCGCGTAGCGATCATCATCAGAGATAAAATTAGAATTATGGATAATAATAAAATTAGAAATATGAATCATATAATTTATTTCCATAGTTCTAATTTTCGCTCTGAAGATGATAGCTACGTGATCGAAATAATAATCAGCCATATAAATTGTTGATGCCAGACAGCATCTTTTATTTATCATACTTAAAATCATATTATTTTCAATTAATATTCTCATTAGTTCAATATTTGAATTATAATAGATTTTAATATTATTCTTATTATTTTGTTATTTATTTTTTATCTTTAATAATAAACATAAAATATAAACGAAAAACCTAATTTTATATTGTGAATAAAAAATTATTAAATTACTTTATATTTGCATTGAACTGTTGAGCGCAAATTATAAAATAAAAGGTTAGAATTTTAGAAAACTGCAGATAATTACATGGCTACAATTTGTATTTATCTCTTTTCATGATTCGCATAAAAACGTGTGATATTCTTGAAAAAGGAAGGGTTTTTTCCCCTCTTTTCCCTTCTTTTTGGTTGATTATAAGGTTCAAAATAATGATATAAAACTTTGAAAAAAAATTTAAATAATCTGTACAGTTTATAGAAAATTGCAGGAATTATTAAAGTAAATATTCGTAGGCGCAAAGTGGTAAACAAATTAAGTTATGTAAACTAAAAAATGTAATAAATCTAAAAAAAGTGTGTTCCATTTGTACAAAAAAACTTTGTACAAATTGACGTCAATCCGCCGAAAATCTTGTGTTTCTTTACCCTTCAAATACGATTTATTACATTTTTTTAATTTATTTTTTATTTTTCACTTTCGCCTATCTTATTCCGCTATCTCCGTCATCTGTAATTTCGAATAACACATTTACGCAAGCTAATACACTCAATATTAAAATATGATACTGAAATAATGGTTAAAAGACCTTTTTGTGTCACTTCGAAGAAAACGAAAAGTAAGTATCAGAGGCCTATCAAACATTTCTTCAAAAGCACGGAGTGTTTAATCTCCGAAAGAAGTGTTACACGCAGTAACGCGTGGGAAGGGGGCGACAACAGTAACGCGACCCGTCTAATTCGCAACACACAGTTTTGTGGGCGATCGAGGGCGGCCGAGCGGCGCTTATCGGCGTTTTGGAATTGTGCAGAGGCTGCGGTGGCGGCTGCAGCGCGCACTCTTCTGATTGCGGTGCGTATTTGCGCTACTGCTCCACTCACCGCCACCCGCTCCCGCCTCCCCGCCTCTCCGCGCCCGCCCACGTCCCTTCCATGCCCATCGCCCCCGCCCGCCGACGCCGATCCGGCGCCCCGCCTCCGCCCACGCCAACAACCCGACCCACATCCCGTCGTCGCCTCCGCGCCCGCCTGCACGCTGGCCCCTCTAGCTGGGACTGGCCATGTGAGACATATACTCGCGAACGGGGAGGGGGCCATGCTCCCACATATAAAACCCTGTCGGGGAAGTGGAGACTTCTGTCCGGTGGCCCAATTCTCGATGTTACTCACATCGATAATACCAAGTGGGTGCAGTGAGGGGTCCCATGCTCCCTGTGTGATCCAGCAAGGGCTGGTCTTCGCTTCGTCAGTACCCCATCCCCCCGCACACACACATATTTACACTCAGGACAAAATTATGTGGGATTTGTCTCGCCCATGTTAGGGGTGTATAATTGCATAGCAAAGAGAGCTGATAAGCTTCGAGCTGGTCATTCTGGCGTATTTCCAGTTAGTTTATTGGGAATATTTTCTCAAAGAGCATTGCGTTCCCAAAGAGCACGCCATATCCAGATATCTTGCGTCTTTGGGCGGCTTTGGGCACCTGGCGGGGCGGGGCTTAGAATCCAAGAATCCACATATGGGTGTCTGAAAACCCCCTAGTTCTTACATAGCAAGAAAGTACACTATCGCTGAGGGCTTGCTGCTCAGAGGGGCAAATGAGTGCCCAGAAGAAAAATTGCTTTCTTCGAAATACTTGTGTGATTTTTCTCAGTAAATCAGAATCATGAAGCACCTTCTTTAGACCTTAAATCTACAAGTCACTCGACTACTTGACGACTTGACATTTTTGTTAAACGTCTAAGTTCCAAAGTCAAAATTTAAAATAGAACAGACTCATTCATCAATAAAAAAACCGGCCATCTGCTCTTCTGCCCTTCCGCAGACCGTCCCCAATGGCGTTATCCGTACCATTAGGATGAACCCCACTCCTCACGATAATCCCCAAAATCGTCCCCCATGGATCACGTCGTCAAACCCCTACCCCCGTCCCCGTTTTCATTGGTGTTCACCATTTAACACCCACTTAATAAATGAATTCCATCCCAACTTTCAAAACACTTCCCTTCCTCAGGACTTCCATTGCATAATCCTGCAGTATTGACTATTCCACTCATAATTTACTCGCTCCGTCCTCTCACTCCACTCCACCCCACCCTCTCACCCTGTCCTATGCCTATCATCGCATACTACCATAACGTCCTCATCGTGCTTCATTCCCGCTTCGCTGCGCTCCTCGCCCGCCCGCCCCACGGCAGGGAGGCAGCGCGCGGTGCTTTGCCGCACGGCCAACGAAACACGCGACACGTTCTGCGTGCCGCTGGCGTCGCGAAAGCGCCTCTGCAAGAAAAACAAAGTGCCTCGTTCATTTCTGATTACGACATGTTGCTCTGACGCTAATGGAGCAGCGGTTCGACCTCGTTAGCCTACGATTCGCATGATTGTGGTGGAGATGGAATCAAATGTGTCCCTGTTGCACTTTGTATCCTTCTTGATAAACAGTTGAATGACTACAAAAATCAGATAATTAATAAAAATTCTGGCCACTGAAGTGTTTTACAAGGAGAGACGTATGAATTCTTAAGAGAGACTTGGCATAAGGCTGCTTAGAAACCTCATCAATTTTTTAAATTTTTTAAAAAAATCATTACTGTACTACGATTTTTAAATATTAGAGGAAGTACCCACATTGATTTAATTGTGCACAATATTTGATTTAAAAATATTCGAAAACAAAATGGGGCCCCGAATTTGGGTAATTTCCACTACTTGCTGATCCCTTACAATCACATCACACAAAATGAAAAACTGTAGAAAAGTTACAACAGAATAATTCAACATAGGCACTGTTAGGAAAGTCGGAAATCCTCAAAATTTTATTTCATGTCGTTCAGTACTTCATCTCGAATACAACATGACATGAGGTAAGTCTACAATTACTGTAACAATACAATCACTATTCTCTGTGACAAATGTTCCTGAAAATGTAATTGCAATGTTTTCTATTTATCAAGAGCTGTACATACACATGTGTAGTGAATCCTTAGATAACTACGGTAAACAAAAAAATTAACATATGCTTAAATTAATTAAACTTTTTCTTAAAGAACACGATGAATAAAAAGGATATGTCAGACAATTGCTGAACATTGCATTTGGTCTTACTAATATTTCCATTTAAAAGAGCTCTTCGAACATTAAAAAAATCGTTTTCGCTTCGCTAATTATAACCTTACATGATTCAAATAAGACCAACTACATTGAAGGAATGTATTTTGCTTTGCTTGCAAACAACTTGCAAAACATCAACATGCTTTGATAGATTACAACTCGCACATTAAATATTGTATATATCTAATAATGGTAAATAAATGTTCATTCTATTAATTTTAAGATATTATTATAAAAGAAAATAGAATTAAAAATATATTTTTATAAAAGAACTTCTTTAATGTTGTAAATAAAAAGATTTTTTCGTCATGCCACACAATCAAAAAAAAAAAAATAATTCTACGTTTCCAAAATGCTGTCCTCCCGGATAGCATAAACTTGAGGTTGGTTGTAAAAAAACTTTGTTCACAATATATTTAAAATTTTTGAAAGTCTCGTTTAAAGTGATTTTTTTTAATCCACATGTTCTGGTTTTCAATGACATCGCACTTTAAAGGAACATTATTACACAACGCAACGTTGTGTTAGCATGGCACACTCTTCATTTTCAAATCCTATGAAGCTCTTTGTCTTGAATTTTGATAACATTTTTCTTTTACCACGTGGCAAATTTTCTGTATTTATATACTCCCACTCCGCTGCCTGCGCGCAGTATGCGAAGGCCCGCGGCGGAGTTTCCTGGCGGCGTCTTTCGCGACGAGAGCCCCGAGGACTGAGTCGCCTGAGATTGCCGCGCATATTTGCTGGAGCCGTGTTGACTCTGGAGACAGACATCCGCGCGCTGCAATCTCGGATCGACTGCGCCCGACCCGGCCACGCGAAATGGGAAACGGCTGCCATGCGGTGGCGAGCTGCGGGGGGGGGGGATGTCTCCGGGATATCGTGGTTGCTCTTGTATAAGTGATTTGTGCGGAACTTGGCTGGAGCTCGCCTTGCCCAGTTCTGTAAAAATAGCAGTTGAATCCCGGTGTGTAAACATTATTCATTTATTCGATTAGAAGCATCTTCCATTTAGGGATTGTGTGTGGTAGTTGTTAACGAATGGAGTTTAGATTCAATCACCAATTCTCGTATCCACAGCCATCACTCCGAGCGACGCAATATAGTGGGACACGAGAAAAGGAGCTATGAGAGAAAAGTATTTCCTCGCAGATCACCGCCTCACCCCCCCATATACATACATTATTCTGCGTTTCTTAAGACATTGTGCCAAGCTTCATTCGCTATCCTTTGAAGCATTTGTACATTGTTAACATTTCTAAATTAATTAATTAAATTTAATAAATTATAACTGCACTATTAATATTGTACGTGAAATGTTAAAAATTAGCACATAAAATTTGAAAGTTCATTTTTTATGAATGTCTGTCTCATGTCGTTTACTGTATTCAACAAATATTACTTTCGTTACTTCATATTTTAATGTAATGCTTTGTTTGTAATAGATTCGATGGTTCAAACGTAAAACTAGAAATGCGTCAACAAAATATAGATTACCGTAATATGTGTGACAGTTACATAACATAATATTGCAACGTACCAACAATAACGAGTTTTTTGTGTCTATTTTTCTGCTTTGACTACAAAAATTTTTCGGCGATGTTCTTTGATGCGTGAATGGTATCAGCAGAGTTCGTTCAGATTCATTCGGTCGGTCGATCGGATTATCATTGTACAATCATCGGAGCTGAGTATAATGATTTTGAGAACGCAAGAATAAATTAAAGAAGGTCATAGTAGTACAAAACTAAACAATTTAAAAAGGAAGCGAAAAAATTCAAAACATTTTCTCGTTTTAGACTTGTGAAATGTATAGTTTCGGTATTGTAATGATTTGAAGGAAATGTAACAAATTAAAACTGACGAATCAGACCACTTTAAAAAAACACTTTCATCACCTAACAAACCTTCAAACCCAATTTTCGTTAAGTCGAGTTTAGATGCTGTCTGGAGGAGAATTCTAGCGGTCGGCTGCACTGATCGGAAGTTTTACGCGGTTTCTCCGATCAACACAAGGCGAATGCCGGAGTAGCACACGAGCCATGGACCGCGTGCTATCTTTCTTTCCTCTTCGTTGTCCTATCGTCACCCCTTACTTACACACACTTACACTAACATGCACTACACTACCACACAAGCCCTGCCAGTGGGAGGTACCTGGTTGGAGAAGCCCCAGCATAGCTGACGCTGGCATAGTCGACGTCTCATCGCACCATCTTGCGGGGGAAGATCACCGCCACCTCCCGAGGAATAAACATGCATTAGACTTACGGGACAAATAATCTTAGTAGTTAACGCGCCCGGAATCACTAATCAATCAATGAAGGTCAATTTTACTAATGAAATTTCGACCTCGAATTTTGGGCAGATTCTCGTAAATTTATTCTTTACTGCGATCACCGAGAAAAAATAAAAACAAAATCTTCTATTTCTCCAAAGTATATTTTTGAACATAATATACTATAAGTAATGTTGTGTAAAACTAATAATGTTCAGGTCTTTCAGATGAAATTTATTATTTTGACGGAGTGATTTAAATTACGGGAGAAAATTTCACTAACTTTAAATTATTGAATAGTACGCAATGTTGAAGTGAATCTGTCTATTATTAATGTGTTTTGTACTCAAAAGTAGATTGCATGTAAGTGAAATGTTTTAAAATGTAAGATGATATTTCGAATTGTTTTATTAAATTGTAGACCGTTTCAGGGGGATTTCTAAAATGTAGACGGCTGTTGACATTTAATTGTACTTGAATTTCAAGCATGTTTCCTATTATACTTCTTATTCATCATCTTTCAATTAATCTTTAATTATCTTTTGTCCAACAATGCTATTGAGATCACCTCTTTATGATGCCTAAGTATTTACTGAAAATTTTAATTCGATTATTCATTTCAAAATAATATTATTAAAATACGAATAGTTCACGTGGCATTTCTTCTGTTTAGT